TGAGATGCTCCATCTGCCTGCGCTTCTGTGGGGCAGATGCATTTCCGGTGAAGTCAGTGAGGCTCACGCTTCAGGGCCCCTTCCAAGTTCCTAAACTTTTAATTTGTCTATTTATGTTTAAAATTCCTTGTATTTATTTGGCCTCACTGTGTGGCTTGCAAGATCTTAATTCCCCGACCAGGGGTTGAACCTGGGCCCTAACAGTGAAAAGTCAACTCATTGGAAAAGTCCCTGATGCTGGGAGAGATTGAAGGTGAGAGAAGTGGACGACAGAGGATTAGATGGTTGGATGACATCACCGACTCAATGGACCTGAGTTTGAGCAAACTCAGGGAGACAAAGAAGGACATGGAAGCCTGGTGTGCTGCAGACCATGGGGTCGCAAAGAGTCGAACACCACTGAGCGACTGAACAACGACAGCTAGCAGTGAAAGCACAGAGTCCTAACCATGGGAATTCCCGAAACTTTTTAGTTTTAATTAAAATTTTAAAATAACTTTGTTGAAACCTGATTGATGTGCAATAAACGACACATATTTGAAGTGGACAGTTTGGTAGGTTTGACTATGTGTCCATCTATGGAGCCGTGACCACCATCAAGAGAATGAGCCCACACTTACCTCCAGAAGATCTCAATCTAATTCTGTGTTTGTATTTCTAATTTCCTTTTCTCAAAGAGAGCCTCACAGTTTTCAGATGCTTTAGGCCCACCCAAATCTGGATTTGCATCTGTCCTGAGAAGCTCAAATGAGACCAGGCTAGGAGAGCACTTTGAGAAAAATGCCAGACTCATCAAAAGTGGAAAATTATCTGCATATTTTTTTCTTCTTTAATTATTTTTCTATTTATTTATTTTATTTTTAATTGGAGGGTAATTGCTTTATAGTGTTGTATTGGTTTCTACCTTATAGCAAGGTGTATCAGCCATAAAAATATTTTTTTTGGATGTGGATCGGCTTTTAAAGTCTTATTGAATTTGTTACAATGTTGCTTCTCCTTTAGGTGTGTTTTTTTGCCTGTGAAGCATGTGGGATCTTAGCTCCCCTGACCAGGGATCAAACCCACACCCTCCTGCATTGGACGGAGAAGTCTAAAGCACTGGACTACCGGGAAAGTCCCCTATTTGCACTTAAAATTTAATTCACACACTTTTCCCACAGAAGATGTGACCAACATCGGATCATTCATTTAGCAAGCATTTAACTGAGTGCCTTCTCTTTGCAGCACTTTTCTTAGTTTTAGGTATAAACAGGACATTTCCTCCTGTTGGGAGTCGGGGGTAGATGGGCAGTTGGGGGGTGACCTCAGCTCTCATTAGGGTGTTTAGGGAACATGTCCCCCCGTAGTGGCAGCTGAGCCAAAGGTGCCCTTGGGATGTGAAGGTAAGGGAGTGGGTCTCGAGGGTCTCTGAGCAGAGGACAGGACATACAAAGACCCTGAGGTGAGAAGGCTTAGCACGTCCAGCTAAAGCTCAGAGCCTCAAAGGCTGGTCGTGCAGGGTGGGGAGGTGCTGAGCTGGGGGCAGGTGGACAGATCCTGCAGGAGCCTCTGGGCTGTTGTAGGGGTTTGGACACTTTCAAGGCAGGCAGGTGGGAGCCCTTGGAGGGGGTTTGAGTTTTAATAGCATCACAGTGGCTGCTAGGTAGAGAATGGACTCAGAGTAGGGAATCCAGCCAGGGAAGGTGGTAGCTTGAAGTGTGGTGGTGGTGGTAGGGGGGAGAAGGGACTGGATTCCAACCTAGTTTGAAAACAGTCATCAGCTTTTGCTGGCAGACTCGTTCGTTCATTCATTCAACACAGAGATGCCTGGTCTGGGGATGCAGACCTGAAGGGAGATGTGGTCCCCTCCTCTGTGATGCTAAGAATCTAGCGGGAAAAGACAGACACAGAGGTGATGGGCTGCTGCCCTTACGAGGGCTGGGCTGGAGCAGCAGGAGAACTGGATCTTGGATGGTGACCAAAGGGTCCCCATCAGCTCCCCCACTGCTGACACCATGCCCACTGGCAGTGTGCTCAGCCTCGGGGCTCCAGGAACCTCCACCCCGTCCACCCTCTGTCCCTGAACTGTTGGCAGTGGACTCCTCTTGTGGGCCTGGAGCTCATTTGATTAACAGGAAGGGAGACTGAGCCCCAGAGAGCTGTAGTCGAGCCAGAGTTCAGGTCTATTCCTGTCTGTACAATCTGGACATGTTTGAATGACGAGTCTATGGCCGTCAGGGCCCAGGTTTTAGATGAGGAGGCCGTGTGAGGGTCCAGAGGGAAGTGAGTGGTGAGCCCCCCAGAGCTCATCTGTGGAGCTGCCGGGTTGCAGCCTGGCTCCTCAGCTCCCAGCCCATGACCACTTCTCTGCTGTTCACAGCTACAGCATGACTGCCTCTGGTTAGACGTGGAGTAGGACTGTCATGTGTCCATTGGACAGCCTGCGGAATAACTTTCCCTGGGAAGCTTTGAGAATGGCCGTGGTGCTGGACTGTGGGCTTAGAGAGACCAGCCCACAGGCAGTGTTCCCAAGGTCCGGGCCTCCCGCTCCTTCCCTGACACAGAGTCTTGTGCTCCCAGGCCAGCGCATCTTCCTGACAGATGAGACCTCCTGAGGGCGGCTCTTGATTCAGCCTTGGCAGTGGGGAGAGGTCAGCTGGGGGGCCCTCATGGCCTTGGCCGGGCGCCCTGGTTACCACCCAGGTGGCGGGCGGCCCACTTGTTTCGCTGCCCCCCTGCATCAGCAGCTTCTCACCCCCCGCAGGCCTCCTGGCTCAGCCAGGCCCAGAGGACCGGGCTGGCTGGCGACTGTGCTCACAGGTGGAGAAAGGAGGTCATCACTCCCGCACAAACCTTCTCACCCTCCGTCTCCCCCAGTGCCCTTCTTTATGGTCTAATCCTACCAGTGGTCAGTGCAGCTCAAGGCTCACCTGGCCACCCAGCCTGATCTGGTGCCTTGTCCTCTGAGCACGCAGCGTGGCCACTGTTGGCTGCAGGCACTGGGCTGTCATGTGGCCACACAAGGGTTGAGCTCCTGGAAGGCAGGGAGCCCTCGTCCTGATCTCATTTATGACCAGGGAGGACGTGGGGTCTTTCAGCATCTCCTTTAGGAGGCTGGGCCGGCAGTGAGCACTCGTGTGACCTGGTGACGTTCTAGCGGGAGCCGTGGAGCTGTGTCTGGATCAGGGCTGCAGGTTCCCCTCCAGAGACACTCCTTGCTTCCCACGTGCCCTCTGCTGCTCACAGACAGGACAGACTCCCTGTCCGGTCCTGCTCTTTCGTGGAGGTGGTGGGGACCGAGGGAGCTGTCCGGAGCCAGGGCCAAGGCAAAGGAGGCCCCAGGGGAGGCGTGAGCAGAGGTGACTGCCAGGCTGCAGTGGGGAGAGGTTCTGGCAGAAGGGTTCCAAGCTGTGTGCCCTCCAGCTGGAGCCCCACGGCCCTGTCACCTTGTCCTCAGGTTACCAGCCCCCAGCGAGGCCTTGGCTCCCTCCTCCTGCTGCTGGGAGACCCCTGGGATCCAAGGAGGGTGGGGGGGCAGGGGTCTGCAGAATCATCACCCCGAGTGCTGGGCAGGTGTGCAGAGGTGAGGGCTGGGGTCCCTCGGGCCCTCCCACTGAGAGGCTGCTGTGTCTCTGCAGGTCGGAATGAGCTGATCGCCCGCTACATCAAGCTCCGGACAGGAAAGACCCGCACCAGGAAGCAGGTGGGCCCTGGGGTGGGTGCTCTGGCACCAACGGTGGCTCCCAGGGTGGGTCTGGCCCTCTGCGGGACCAGGTGTGGGCTCTGGGGGCCAGCTCGGGAGGGGTCCTCCACTGGGTATGTCCCCTGTGGTCGGTTTCCTGGGGTCCCCGCCACCGTGGCTGGGAGGAGAGAGACAACTTCCCTGCTTCTCCTGGCCAGCAGGAGGACCCCACTTCTGTTTAGCTGGGAGGGCAGAACCGAGGGCCCGTCAGTGATGGATCTTTCATTCATTCATTCATTCATTCATTAAGTCTGTGATGTGGATGGAGGGCTGTGGTGGGTGGAGGGCCAGGGGGAGCCCCATGGGAAGCGGCCTTCAGGGAGAAGGCAGGAACAGGAGTCCCTTTTCCTGACTCAGGTATCCAGCCATATCCAGGTGCTGGCTCGGCGAAAAGCCCGTGAGATCCAGGCCAAGCTAAAGGTAAGACAGGGATGGTGGCGGGAGCAAGGGCCCAGGGCTTGGGAAGGCTGGCCTCTGGGACTTTGGGCTCTTTTCCCAGGAGGAAAAGTCTTCTCGTGGGTTTCGGGGCTGCCTGCGGAGCCAGTGGGCTTCAAGGTGCTGGGGAAAGTGGGGTTCAGCCTGTAACCTGTCTCCCCCATCTAGCAGAGGACACTGACCACTGACTGGCAGCCGTGTGTGTGTGTGTGTGTGTGTGTGTGTGTGTGTGTGTGTGAACGGCCAGGTTCAGCATCCTGGGAGGCACAGTCNGTGTGTGTGTGTGTGTGTGTGTGTGTGTGTGTGTGTGTGTGTGTGTGAACGGCCAGGTTCAGCATCCTGGGAGGCACAGTCCAGTCTCCTGCTGTGCATTCTGCACCCCGCCCCGCCCCAGCTCAGAGGGAGAGTGCACGCCCCGAATCCATGGTTAGGGCAACAGGATTGACCTCCAGACCCCTTTCCTTGAGGACCCCTGAGGGTGGCCTGGCCTGGGAGGTACTGCTGGGGGTGGGGTGGGGTTCCATGCTGGAGGAGGGGCTGGTGGAATTCTTTCCACCCCGCTCTCTGGGACTGGAGGTTCCTGCCCCTTCCTGGATCAGCCCCACCTTGCAGGCCTGGACAAGTGACTGTGCTTGAGGGGGCCAGCCCTGGTGAGAGCCCCCTCCCCATGGGACTCAGCCCTTCTGGATCCCATGGAGGAGCCAGCATTTGGGCCTTAGACCAGACCAGTAAATCCAAGGACATTAAAAAAAATTTTTTTAAATTTTAATTTTTTGACGATACTGTGCGGCTTGTAGGATCTTAGCTCCCTGACCAGCAATTGGAACCTGGGCCCTCGAGAGTGAAAGCGCAGAGTCCAAACCACTGGACGACCAGGGAACTCCCCATGTACATTTTTTAAAGCAGTGGAAGCCTTTTTGTTTTTCTTCCTAACTGAATTATCACCGATACGATGTCAGAGGAGCTGCTGTGGTCAGTTAAGTTGGCGAGGAGCGGTCTAGGGACCCCTCCTCTATGTCCCTCTCAGGCCCCACGACTCTTGAACCCGAAAGCATCTGAGAACCCAGTTTCAAAGCCCCTGGGCTAGAGGACCACAGAGGACCCCTCTGGGCCTGCAGCCCATGACCCTGACCCTGGAGCCTGGAAGGCGTGGGTGGGAGGCCGCAGGAGGCTGCCCCCGCTGCCCACCCAACTCCATTCCTCCTGCATCAGCCCAGCTGTCCCTGCCCCCCACAGCTGCAGCCCAGCCCTCGCCCCTTTGCCCCCAGGACAGCTGGCTGGCCGCAGCTGCTGGTCCCTCCCTCTGAGGCTGGCACATGTACCCGGACACCCTCAGCCCAGGCGCCCACTTGCTCCCCACTCTGCTCTCTGGCCGGCTTGTGACTCCCTGGGGCCCAGCAGGGGACCTGGTGGAGAGTGGAGTGTCCAGGCTTCTGTTTAGAGCCGTCGAGGGGAGCTGTTGATTCCCAAGGGGCCCAGTTGTACGGCCCACGTGTGCTGGAGGGACTGAACCTGTCCCTGTCCATAGGCTCTGATGAGGGGCCAGGAATATCCTCAGTGGACGGCCAGACAGGCTTCAAGGGAGCCACGGGTCCTTTAAGTAAATATGCACATTTTCCTGCATGTGCACTTAGGGGAGAATTGGGTCTGAGGATTTTACCATATTCTCCAAGGGGTCTGGGGCCCAGTGCAGTTAAGCTCCCATGTGGGCAGCAAGGTCAGGTGGAGATCTTTGGGTCACTGGCCTGGCTCTGCCCGTGGGCGCTTGGCTGGGTCATCCACCTCTAGCTCCAGCCAGCTTCCTTGTCTATAAATGACAGGGTTAATCAAAGTGCTGTCTGAGGTCCCCTCCAACCTCAAAATTCAGTACCAGGTCACTGATGTCACCCCCCCACTCCCCCCCGATTCCTGTCCCACTTGCTGGTCCCTGGCTGTTCAGTTAGGCCGGCTATCAGAAAGGAGTACAGGTCATTGACACAGGGTTGGAGCCATCCAGCCTCCCATTGCCATTGTTAACAGGGGTCTGTGGGCTTCCTGGGGTGCCGCCCCATCTGTGTCCTGGAGGGAGCAAGTCTAGGTGACGCTCCTGAGATCCCCAGAGTCCTTGCAGAGAGGCAGCCTAATGCTTTGTTTAGCAGAGACCGTGTCAGAGCAGGGCCCAAGTTTGGCCCCCAAAGGACTGTGGGCTGGGGTGCCCACTGCTCAGTGTGGCCCCTTGCACCCTCTGTGCTGAAGATGGGGTGCCCTCAGGTCCTGACCTTCCCCCTCCTTGGTCTGCTCAGCCCCTGGGCCTGCAGAGGTCAGAGGTCACGGATGTCCTGTCCTGGACCCACTTCACAGGGCAGACCATCCTATGACCCCTGTCAACACCCAGGTCCCCTAAATTCTCTGAGCCTCTGTTTATCTTAGAATGGGGGTGTGACAAGTCCTGCCAGCCCCACAGGGGTCCTGTGATGTTCAGAGCCAAAGTGAGACAGCGTTCTTTACTTTCCGGGGCTGTCTGGTGCCCCGTGACCGTAAGGGTCCCTGAAAGGCCGCCTGGCCCCACACCGTGTCCCACAGGACGCCAGGCTCACCACTCGGACCTTTGCTGTAATGCCGCCCACCAGGCGACTGAAGTCACAGCAAACCCAGCTGTGAGCTGCAAGGCCCTCCCTTAGCAATCCACTTGCTTATTGCTCAGGACAGATTTGGGTCATCAAGTTGGTGATTAAATAAAGGGCCCACGTATTTTTCCCATTTAAAAATAATCCATCTTAAAGATATGGGATTTCTAATCACAGCTCCCAAGTTGACATAACCCAAAGTTTTGGCCCGTAGTGCTGCCTGCACCAGCCCACTGTCTGTATGTATGGTCTTATTTCTGATCCATATGGACTTTTTGAAATACAAGATGTTGTCTTATTGCTTTAGAGGCCCTTCAGGGTTGGGGAGCTCAGGATGGGACCATTGGCTTAGACAGGTATTAACAAGGATTTTTTATAAGCAGATGATACTGCAGATTCATTCAGAGCCTGTGCTGGGTGAGCCCATTTTTTAGGGGGGGTCTTTGGACTAGAGAGGACAGACAGCCACATTCTGAGACATTAAAGATGCAGGAGCCATGGGTGCCCGTGGTATAGTTGACACCCATAGGCCAGGTCTGAGACGGGGACCACGGGAGACTGGCCCTTGTCACTGTCCATGTGACTGGAGATGACCTCTTCTGAGCATATTCCTGCATCCTCTCCCATGAGCCAAGTGGGGCCCCAGAAACCCTTGCTGTGGAGGTGAGTGAGGCCTGGGTGGTCTCTGTTTGCAGGTGTCCCTTAGGAGACAGGAGAGTGGTGGTCTGGCAGGTGACCTTCCAAGTCTCTTTATTTTTTTTCGAACTTTAAGCTTTTTATTTTGCCTCGGGGTGTAACTGATTAACAATGTTCTAGTAGTTTTAGGTGGACAGGGAAGGGACTCAGCCTTACACATGTGTGTATCCATTCTCTCCCAAACCCCCCTCCCATCCAGGCTGGCACATAACATTGAGCAGAGTTCCCTGTGTTATACAGTAGATCCTTGTTGGTTATCCATTTTGAATACAGCAGTGTGTACCTGTCCATCCCAAACTCCCTCACTATCTCTTCCCCCTGGCAACCGTAAGTTTGTTTTCTGTGAGTCTGTTTCTGTTTTGTAAGTAGGTTCACTTGTATCATTTCTTTTTAGATTCCACACATAAGGGATGTCATACAATATTTCTCCTCTGTCTGCCTTCACTCAGTATGATACTCTCTAGGTCCATCCCTTGTTGTTACAAATGGCATTATTTCATTCTTTTTAATGGCTGAGTAGTATTCCATTGCATATATGTACCACATCCTCTTTATCCATTCCTCTGTTGATGGACATTTAGGTTGCTTTCACATCTTGGCTATTGTAAACAGTGCTGCAATGAACACTGGGGTGCTTGGATCCTTGCGGATCATGTTTTTCTCCGGCTATGTGCCTGCGAGTGGGTCAAAGTCTCCTTTAACGCTAGTGCGACAGGCAGGACAAGGGTCCCCTTTGACAGATGAGGAAAGGGATCAGAGCCACCCAGTGACTTACTCAGAGTCACAGGGAAGGTTCACAGCCCTGCAGGAGTGGGAGCTTGGTCCCGGGTCCTCTGCTGGTCTGGACGGTGCTCGCACTGAGGCCTCCCCCCCAATGTCTCCCCAGGATCAGGCAGCTAAGGACAAGGCCCTGCAGAGCATGGCTGCCATGTCGTCCGCCCAGATCATCTCCGCCGCAGCCTTCCACAGTAAAATGACCCTCACCCGGGGCCCAGGCTACCCAGCGGTCTCAGGGGTAAGTGGAGCTGCCTGCAGCCGGAGGCCAGGCCGCCCTGTCCTTCTCCCTCCTCCCCCTTCTGAGGAGACACAGTGCTGGCCACACCAGAGTCCTCACCTGAGTCTTCTCAGGGAAGGAGGGACCAAGGACCGAGGGCCGTGCAGGCGTTGGAACTGCCCTCTGGGGGCCCTGGCAGGGCAAAGCTACGCCATCAGATGGGCGGCCTGGGGGCTCTTCAGAGTTGGCCTGGTTTCCTGATGGTGCTAGTGGTAAAGAACCCACCTGCCAAAGCAGGAGACATGAGAGACCTGGGTTTGATCCCTGGTGGGGGAAGATCCCCTGGAGAAGGGCATGGCAGCCCACTCCAGTATTCTTGCCTGGAGAATCCCGTGGACAGAAGAACCTGGCGGGCTACAGTTCATAGTAAAGAGTGGACACCACTGAAGCAGCTTGACACGCACACATGCAGAAGAGGCGGCTGAGGCCCCAGGCTTTGGGGCAGCACTGGCCGGTCCCCAGTAACCCTGCCCCCACTTGGCCTCACCCCCGCTCTCCCTCAGGTGTTCCTTCCAGGTGGAGGCTGACGTCCAAGAACAAACTCTTGAATGTGAACTTCTTGGCCTGAGAATGGGTCTCTCGGCCGCTCTAAGAACAGTCCAGAGAGGCCCCTCTTTCCCAGGGTGTGTCCATACAGGTTTTTCCTGGCTGTCGGGACTAATGCACCACCCCAGGCCCGAGAACAAGGGGCAGTCCGGTGAGCCTCTTGTCTAGCTGTTTTTCAGTGTCCAGAGGCCTCTAGTCCAGCAGGGCATTGAGTAGATAGGACGACGGGACTTGAGGTGTGCCCATGTGACTTTGGGGTGCTCAGATCTAAGCAGGATGCCTGGCTCCAGGACTGTTGGGGGGCCATGCTTGGCACNGGCCGGCACCATTACCTCCAACGAGTGGGGCTCTCCCAACTCCCCCGAGGGGAGCAACGTCTCTGGGGGCAGCCAGGCCTTGGACAAGCCCATCGACAATGATGCGGAGGGTGTGTGGAGCCCTGACATTGAGCAGAGCTTCCAGGAGGCCCTGGCCATCTACCCGCCCTGTGGTCGGCGCAAGATCATCCTGTCGGACGAAGGCAAGATGTACGGTCGGAATGAGCTGATCGCCCCGCTACATCAAGCTCCGGACAGGAAAGACCCGCACCAGGAAGCAGGTATCCAGCCATATCCAGGTGCTGGCTCGGCGAAAAGCCCGTGAGATCCAGGCCAAGCTAAAGTTTTGGCAAGGAGCTCTGCCGGGCCAAGCCGGAACGTCCCACGATGTGAATGAAACCTTTCTCCCAACAAACCTACACTGTCCAGCCGTCACTGCCTCTGCCAGGGTTTGAATCTCTGGCAGGATCTGCCCCATCGCCCTCTGCGCCCCCCGCGCCCCCATGGCAGGGCCGCAGCGTGGCCAGCTCCAAGCTCTGGATGTTGGAGTTCTCTGCCTTCTTGGAGCGGCAGCAGGACCCCGATATGTACAACAAGCACCTATTGGTGCACATTGGCCAGTCGAGCCCCAGCTACAGCAACCCCTACCTCGAAGCCGTGGACATCCACCAGATCTACGACAAGTTCCCCGAGAAGAAGGGCAGCCTCAAGGAGCTCTTTGAACGCGGACCCTCTAACGCCTTTTTCCTCGTGAAGTTCTGGACCGAGTACGCACGCTACGAGAACGGCCACTACTCCTACCGCATCCACCGCTCCCCACTCTGTGAGTACATGATCAACTTCATCCACAAGCTGAAGCACCTGCCTGAGAAGTACATGATGAACAGTGTGCTGGAGAACTTCACCATCCTGCAGGTGGTCACCAACAGAGACACCCAGGAGGCCCTGCTGTGCGTGGCGTACGTCTTCGAGGTGTCGGCCAGCGAGTACGGGGCTCAGCACCACATCAACCGGCTGGTGAAGGAGTAGAGACCAGGGACCGGGAAGGGGTGACATCACGTGTGCAGGGACGAGGGGAGGGGCCCCACGGGGCAGCCCCCCGCAGCACCGAGAGTCGAGGTGGTGACTCTTCTGCCCAGGAGGAAACTCTGCCTGAACCCGCAATTGCCCAAGCCCAATAAACCCCAGCTCGTGCGTCTTCAGAAAAAAAAAAAAAGTCCAAGACCTTAATTTATTCCATCCTCAGAGCTGAGTCAAGTTGAAACAAAAGAATATAAAGAACAGGCAGAGGTTATGAAAGAATACCATAAAGAGGAAGAGCAGGTGACTTTCAGGATTACAGTTTACCAACCATGGGTAGAGCCTTTCAAGAAAATACCAATTAATAAGACTTAACTCACTGATCATTCTCACATCACGAGTTAACTCAGCTGTGTGCAATGTTCTATAGGTGTACAGGTTTACACATAGCAATGAAAGGGAAAAAAAATCACAGTACTCTGTATTTCTATAGTATTGTCCTTGTGTGTGTGTGTTCAGTTGCTTAGCCATGTCCGATTCTTTGCAGTACCATGGACTGTAGTCTGTCAGGCTCCTCTGTCCATGGAACTTTTCAGGCAAGAATACTGGAGTAGGTTGCCATTTCCTCCTCCATGGTATCTTCCTGACCCAGGGATATGTCCTGGGTGGGTCAGGGCCTGAGCTCAGGACCCCGAGGGGAGGAGGCTGGCCTGGGTGGGAGGGAGGGAGTGATGGGTTTGCCCAACAGACATGCTGCTTCCGTGGGCCAGTCAGAATCCTGAGGGAGCAGGAGGCCAGAGTCCCCGACCCCACAGGCTGCATCAGAGACAGCCCAGGGGCCTGACCAAGGCTCCGTGTCTGCCCTGGGCTCACGTGTCCTCTCTCATCTCCCGCAGTGTGAAACCTTTCTCCCAGCAAACCTACACTGTCCAGCCGCCACTGCCTCTGCCAGGTGGGTGGGCAGGGTCTGACTCCCTCCCGTGTCACACCCTGCTGCTCCTGTCCCGGTCCCAGGTCCTGACAGCTGGGCGCTCATGCACCTTTAGACGCCATCCTGGTGCGTGCTCAGACTGTGTACCCCGTCTCCTGGCTGCACCCCGATCCTCTCCAGAGCCAAGACCCCTGTGTGCCTGGGGCTGCCCATCCTCCCCAGAGAGACTCAGGGCTGGCAGCATGCGCATGGTTCAAGGGGCACGGTGGGTGCCCCGGGCAGCTGCTCCACCTGCACATACATCCCATCCAGCCTGGCTCTTGGGCTGACCTCCCTCTGGGACACTGTAACCCTCTCCTTCAAGACGGAGTTCCCACAGAGCCTGGCGTTCCAGCCTGGAGCCCCTGGTCAGCAGAGGGAAGACTCCTGAGATGGGGCAGACTGGGCGGCACTCTGGCTGCTCACGTGACCAGTTTTGTCCCTGCGTCTTTCTCAGGAGGGTCCCTCCACCTGCCCCTCTGCAGGGCAAGACAGGATCCTTGCCCATGGCCACCTTTCCTGGTTTGGGATTGGCTCCTGCCTGCATGCTGGCCTGGCTTTTTCTGCTCTGAGAGGAGCCCTGCCACCCTCCTAGGTTCTTGACAGCCGCTTGGGGCCACCCCCACCTCCCTAATCTGTGTTTTCCCCTTTCTGCCCATCAGCTTCTCTCGGGCCCTCCTCGTTCCTGCCTGGGTCACTGCCGTAGCCTCTTGACCAGCTTCCCCATCTGCAGCCACATCCTTGCTCTTCCATCCCATAACTCACCCATCATCTTTTTAAAGCATCTTTCTTACCGCGCTGCTTCCGGCTTAGACTCCATTAGAGGCTCCCCGGTGATTGTCACTCTCTGTGCACCCGGGCACCATCCTGGGCTGGTGTCTGTGTCTGTCCTCCATATGCTGGGCCACATCTAGTGTGCCCTCACCAGGCAGGACTCGGGAAGCTACCCTTGGACAAGTGAACGAGGGATCCAGCTCAGGTGTCCAGTGTGTGAGCTGGTGTGTCCAGCGTGGTCCTCCGCCTGCTCCTCTGCCACCCCGTCTCTGTCCCCTCCCCTGGCTCCTGACCTTCCTGCCTCGGCTGCCCCCTCGTCCTGTCTGTCACCAAGTCCTGCAGTCTTGCTCCCTCCATGTCCCTCCTGTGTCCCCTCCTCTTCACTGCCCTCTTCTTGTCCCGCCTCGAGAAGAGCCCACGTGGCCCACGTCCCTGGCCAGCCTCGCCCCTGCCCAGTCCTTCCTCCACAAGGAACAAGATGTGCAGAAATGCTCAGCCAATCACTCCTTAGCCTTGCCTAGAATCCTCTGTCACCCTCCTGAGCTCAGGCTGATACCTGAACTCCTCACCCAGCAGCCAGGCCCCAACTCTCCAGCCTTGTTTCCGGCCCCCACACAAACCTGCTGGACGGAGCCTCCCAGCCCACTGAGCATCCAACAGCCCCATGCCCTCTGCCTGGAGCCCATTCCCCTGTCTCCGCTGCTGCCTCCTGCTCCTGCCGCATCACTTCTTTTTATTTTTTTTATTATTAAGTTTATTTTTAATTGGAGGATAATTACTTTACGATGTGTTAGTTTCTGCTTTACAACAGTGTGAATCAACCATAAGTATACATATATCCCCTGCCACCTGGGCCTCCCTCCCACCCCCGCTGCATAACCTCTTTAAGCATCACCTGCGAGAAGCCTTTCTGACCACCTTCAAGGTGGACAAGGAGCCCCCCTGCAGCACTCAGTCTGTTTTCATCATGTTCATTGCTTCACTTAATCACAAACCTGCATTCACTTCTGGGCCAGATGCTGTCCCAGGGGCTGGGCAGAGACTCGTGTCATTGTAGTCATTTGTCCAGTTATCTCCCTGGCTGGACCTGAAGCCCCTCTGGAGCAAGAACCAAGCAGTTCCTGCCCTGGAAGCCCTGGGTCCAGCAGGCATTCCCCTCGACCCCTGCCCCCAACCACTCCCATCCCCTTTCCCCCCCACCCCCAACCTGTCCCTGCCCAGCATCGTCTCCCTGGAGAGCTGTCCTGTGCCTGGAGGGGACTGAGCTGCCAGGGCTGAGCTCCCTGCCAGGGCTGCCCCTGGACCACTGGCCAGTGCTTGGCCCCTACCCCCACGCCTGCTGGGAGGCGCACAGCAGGTCCCCCAGCCAGGTTCCGATGGGTCTGGGGGAGGCTGGTGTGGGGAGGCCGTGTGGGCCGGCTCCCATGTGCCGTCCACCGTGTGCAGGGTTTGAATCTCCGGCAGGACCTGCCCCGTCGCCCTCTGCGCCCCCCGCGCCCCCATGGCAGGGCCGCAGCGTGGCCAGCTCCAAGCTCTGGATGTTGGAGTTCTCTGCCTTCCTGGAGCGGCAGCAGGACCCTGATACGGTAGGTTCTGGACTTTGCCAGCTGGATTTTCTCCTGCCCCGTCCTCCTTCCTGGAGGGTGCTGCTCCCCAGCCTCCTCCAGCTCCTATTTTACCTGCTCTGGCTTTCTCTCCCTGCCCTCTGCCCCGCTCTACCTTGGGACTAAACTTAGGCTCCCTGTTCCTTCTCATCCTCTCCTGGTTCACCCGTCCTCCCCCTGGCTTCTTTCTCACTGGACCTTGTGTCTCTCCCTCCCCTAAGCCCTACCCTGGTCTCTGTGCCCCATCCTAGCCCCCAGTCCCTTCACGTCCTCCTTCCTCCCACCTAGTCACCTCTCCCTCTGAAGACACTGGTCCCAGCCCCACCCCAGGCTGCACTGCGCTGTCCCCTGTGGCTCCAAGGAGCCGCCTGTCTGCCCCACATCCTCGGGGTCACCAGCAGGAGCATCAGCCCACTTCCACCTTGTCCCCTTCTGTGTCTCCATCCTGGGTGACCAGCGTCACCTGCGGAGTTCAGAGTAGCACCTGGCTGTGGACAGGAGGCCAGAGCAGGGGAAACTTCACTGATCATTTCAGTTTAATGCTTTTTTTTTCTTTAACTGCTAAGATTTCCCAAGGTCTTTATTTTTTCTTAGTTTATTTTAAGTTGGAGGATAATTGCTTTACCCTGTTGTGTCGGTTTCTGCCATACAACCACGTGGATCAGCCCATACGTATACGTGTATCCTCTCCCCTCCTGAGCCTCCCTCCTACACCCTCCCACTCCCAGTTTGACATTTAGAAGCTTATTTTTCAGGTGAGGAACTCACTAGTCAGACAAACCCTTCCTTGGAAGCCCAGCATGTATTGTGAAAGAAGTGGATTTTCTTGGGTTGCAGCAAGGGATTCCCACGCCCCCACCATCAGTCCAAGCGGAGGAAGCACCCCTTTTCTGGTTCAGTGGTCTTCCATCACACGTGAGATTGAGGGGGTCCAAAGACAGAAATGACCCGCCTAAGGATGTTCAGTGACCGAGTCTCGACTCAGAATAGTGCAAATAGCGACCAACACGTGCCGAGCACCTGTGGGGAGACGCCCGCCCCAGGCGCGGGATGCCTGTTTACTCTGCTTTGCGCTCAGCCCTTCTTCCTGCTCCGTGTTCCCAGAGGGGAAACTGAGGCCGTGGCATCCCTGCCCTGGGCCCCTGGCTGGGCTCAGCGCCCCGGGGCTGATCCGTCCGCCCCGCGGTCCCTCAGACCAGCACTCCTGTGCCCACAGTACAACAAGCACCTATTTGTGCACATTGGCCAGTCGAGCCCCAGCTACAGCGACCCCTACCTCGAAGCCGTGGACATCCACCAGATCTACGACAAGTTCCCCGAGAAAAAGGGCGGCCTCAAGGAGCTCTTTGAACGCGGACCCTCCAACGCCTTTTTCCTCGTGAAGTTCTGGGTAAGTCCCTTGTGGCCTTGTCCTTCCTGCCCCAGCTCATCGATGACCATCACTCAGCCCTTGGCTCAATTGCCCCGAGGGTGAAGCCTGACCAGGGACGCCTGGCTGGCAGGAGGCACTGACGGGAACCCTGCCCGGGTCAGGGGAGATAGCAGCGTGGGGGCCCTTCTCACCAGCACCTACCTTCTTCCAGTTGGAGATCATATTCTGTGTTCTTCTAGCCACCCTCCAGATGAGAACCACCCTAGATCCCCATTTCATAGATGGGGAAACTGAGGCATGGAGTCAGCAAGGGCCTGGCTCTGAGACGCCCAGGCCCAGCGAGCCCGGCTCCTGCAATCCTTCTTGTGAAGGGCATGCTGGGGAAGGTCAGGGCTGTCGGGAGAAGGTCACCCTCATCGTGTTACTTCTATTAGCATGTTTCTTCTTTACCGGGCTTCCCAGGTGACACTAGTGGTAATGAACCCACCTGCCAACGCAGGAGATGTAAGAGATGCGGGTTCAGTCCCTGGGTCCGGAAGACCCCCTGGAGGAGGAAATGGCAACCCACTCCAGTATCCTTGCCTAGAGAATCCCACGGACGGAGGAGCCTGGCCGGCTACAGTCCATGGGGTCACAAAGAGCCGGACACAACTGAGCGACTGAGCGTGCATCCTTGCCACCGTCCTGAAGGGAGGTACGGTTGACAGCCGTGGTCCCTAGAGGGGAAACGGGCACAGAGAGCTGAAATGACCTGCCAGGGCCACTCAGTTCGTAGTGGCAGCCCAGAGCTCAGACCCAGCTCTGGGAGTGTGCTTGTAACCACCGCCCTACGTTTCCTGCTTTGCCGGGTGCCTGCTGCCTCCTGCAGGGCCCTGGTGCTCCCCCTGTCCTGGTGGAGAAGGCTCTGGATTGCCTAAGCAGGGACCCCAGCCCCCAAGCGGGGGCAGGAAGAGAGCAAACTTCGATGTGCATTCAGAGTCGTTTTCTGGAGCCCAGACTTCACTTCCAAGAGATGGTCGGGATGATCTCCATCCTGCCTGGAGATCAGCGCTGGCAGGAGGTGGGGAGGAGCCAGAGTATCCTTCCCCAGTCTGGCCCATGGCCCTGGTCCTCTCCTTCCTTCTGACCCTGGGGGGGCTGGGGGCAGGGATGATGAAAGAAGAGGGGGTGGGGGCAGAGGTGCCAGGAACCGTGAACAACCTCAGCCGCCATCTGGTCCTTCTCCTCCTGTGTGGGGAAGGCAGAGGCGCCAGGGAAGGTCAGACCTGTGATGTGGGGAAGGCAGTTCTCCTGCTTGCTAACCATGGGACTCAGGGTCCTCCCGGGCAGCCCCAGACCACAGCCATCCGGAACCCTCTACTGCGCCCTGGCCTGGAGCTGGAGGGGGTGGGCCACACATTTAGGCAGGGACACGGCTGGCCAAGGACTTGGTGAGCCCCCTCCCCGCCCCCAGCCTCCTTTTTCCTGCCCGGTGGTTTTCTCATCCGGCCCCAGGCCCTGGGCACGCAGGCAGCGGGGTGGGTCAGAGGGGACTTGGAGTGGGAGGAGGGGGGACTCTGATGTCCCCAGCTCGGCCTCCCGGCCCCTCCTGCCGAGTTACTGCCCTCACTGGTGGAGGGTAGGGAGTGAGTGGTCGGCTCGCGTCTGCCAGGGCTCATCGGTTGCAGCTGGCAAGGGCATCGGCACAGGAGGGGTTCGGGGGGTCAGGCTGGGCCCCGTGCATGTGAGATGGGGGGGCTGAGAGGCCAGCGCCCCGCCCTCCTCCCCCAGGACCTGTGAGATCAGCAGAGTCCTCCTCTGTCCGTTGGCGGAGGGAGAGGGGCCTCCTGGACACTGATGGCCATTAACTCTGGATTGAAAAGGCTGGGCCGAGCTGGCAGGGAGGACAGGGCCCCAGCCCCTCCTCCGTGGCAGGGCCCTGTCTCCCGGGCACATACCAGTGCGTGACAATGAATCTGAGCCCCCGGCCCCCTCGCCCGGCTGTCTCGGCTCATCTGTCAGCCATCCGATCCCCCACACCTGTTCCGGGCACAGCCTGTGAGCTGCCCACCGCACCGTGGCTATGAATAGGGTGGGGGAGGGGAGCGAGTGGGCGCTGGGGTGGGGAGTGGGGCGCCTCTGAGGGTAACAGGGGGGCAGCTCTGCTCTCAGGCTGGGAGGGTGGAGATGCCAAGCTTGTGTGGGCGGGGGGCTCAGAGTGGGGGCACACGGTGGGCAGGAAACCCTGTGGTGGGGCTGTTGAGGGGGTGGGATCGTAGTTAGGACGTCACAGAGGATGCTGTGTGGCTGTTGTCAGCTGGGGTCCCCAGGGGTAGATTCTGGGGCAGACTCTGGACCTTCGCTTGTGGGACTTCCCTTTTTGCATGCTGGATCTTAGTTCCCCGACCAGGGGTCAAACCCCGGCCCTCTGCAGTGGAAGCACAGAGTCCTAACCCCTGGACCGCCAGGGAAGTCCTTATGGAATTGCATCTCTGCTCCATCTCCTTCTCTCTCTCTCAACTGTCAGCTCACCTGTTCTCGCTGCTCCCCCCGGCCCCCCAAGTCACACACACACACACTCCTTGAGGGCAGAGACTATGTCGCAGCCTCTTCCCTTCCACCCTGGCTGTTCTGGGCCAGGCAGGATGCATGGGTGACTGAAAGGCCAGGCGAGTGGGAGGCGATGCCAGAAGACCCGGGAGCATCTTTGGGCTGGGGTGGGGCTGCGGTTCTGAGGACTTGGAGGTGCAGGAAGCGTAGGTGCCCTCCTTGTGACTACAGGACCGCTCCTCGCCCAGAGCCACCGTGTGGGGGCAGGCACAGACAGCCACGTGCCACACACACGTGAAGGCACACACCCTGTGCCTGGCTGGGCCCTGGGAGAGCTTGGTTCCTGCCTCCGGGGTCTTCACCATCCGGAAGGGGTAAGGCCAGGCCCTGCCAACCCGGTGGTGGTCGCGTTTTAAAGGGGTTCTGCACGAGGGTGCCAGACCTCTCAGAGCAGTTTAGAGGAGGGGCCGAGCAGAAGGGGGCTGGTCTGGAGGCAGAACTGAGATGCAAAAGTCTAGGGTGGCTGGACTCACGGGGTCACAGAGATGGCGAGGGGCTGGCCCCCCAGAGCCATTGCTGAAAGGCACCGGCAGGGTCTCGTTGCGCTGAAGGCCAATGTGAGGTCCCGTCTGCTGGGCGGAGGGTACCTGGTGGGCAGTAGGGGCCAGGCTCTTGCCACTGCTTCTGTCGCACAGGCTGACTTTACCCCAGGCCTGTGTGTGAACGGACAGGGACGCTTTCTGAGGTCCTACATCCATGTTCTCTCTGAGCGTCCCCCACCTCAATGGTGTCCTGGCCCTGGGACCTGGGCCGTGGCCCCCAAAAGGGCCCCTCTGAGTCACCACCCCGCCCTTGCCCTTGTCTTTCTCCAGGCAGACCTCAACACCAACATGGAGGACGAGGGCACCTCCTTCTACGGGGTGTCCAGCCAGTACGAGAGCCCCGAGAACATGATCATCACCTGCTCCACCAAGGTGTGCTCCTTCGGCAAGCAGGTGGTGGAGAAAGTGGAGGTAGGCCACGCTGCCCACCTGGGCTCTGGCCCCTCACGTACACACACACACACACACCCCTCCGTCCCCAGCTTGGGCTTCTCACCTCTTTCCCCAGATTTGCCTGAATTAAGGAAGTCTCACCCTCACCTCGTCCTTATCACTGACAACCTACCTCACGCCCAACACGAGCCGGGGGGGTGAGAGGCCAGCCCACCCCCCCCCCATCCTGCTGGTTCTCACCTGCTGTACAGCAGGTCTTGGGGGGCCAACACCCTGGCACCAAGTCCCCCACAGTGCTTAAGCCCAGACCTCTCCCACCTGTGGTGTTGTCTGGGCAAGACGCAGTCTCTGAAAAGCTCTTCAAGTTATTTCCAGTGAAGTTTTAGTTTGAGATAATTGTGATCCACATGCAACTCTAATCCCTTTGCTAGCCCCCTCTTGCCTACTAGAGTGGACGGAGCATTAGCCCCCTGAAGCTGACTCTGATGCAGCCCACACGCTCAGCTGTGTGCCTGAGTGTGCACAGATGTGTGGATGCACATACGTGACGGATCCGTGGCCACAAGGTCCCTGTAACCCTGCCCTTGTGTAAGGCCAGAACTGAGCTGTCACTCTGTCCCCGCCTTCGCGTCTTTAAGTTCCTCCCTCAGATACCCCGTGGGTGTCTGGGTCCCCAAGGGAGGTGGGGGGTCTGTCTCCAGGGACCCCAGGGCTCAGCCCCACCTTCCCACTTAAGCCCTAGTGGGTCGTGGACCTTCCTCAGGGAGCTGTCGGGCTGGAGGTGGGCAGCAGCCTTCTAAGTCGCGCTGTCCCTGGCCCTGCAGACCGAGTACGCACGCTACGAGAACGGCCACTACTCCTACCGCATCCACCGCTCCCCGCTCTGTGAGTACATGATCAACTTCATCCACAAGCTGAAGCACCTGCCTGAGAAGTACATGATGAACAGTGTGCTGGAGAACTTCACCATCCTGCAGGTGTGTGTGTGTGCGGGTGTGTGTGCAGGTGTGGGGGGACAGGTGTGAAGACAAGTGTGGGGCAACAGATGTGTGTGTGCACAGATGTGGGAAGGCAGGTGTGTTTATGGGGACAGATGTGTGTGCAGGTGTGGGGGGAAGGTGGGAAGGCAGGTGTGGGGGGACAGGTGTGTGTGTGCAGGTGTGAAGACAGGTGTGGGGCAACAGATGTATGTGTGCACAGATGTGGGAAGCCAGGTGTGTTTATGGGGACAGATGTGTGTGCAGGTGTGGGGGGAAGGTGGGAAGGCAGGTGTGGGGGGAAGATGGGTGATGTGTGCAGGTGTGAGGGGACAGGTGTGTGTGTGGGAGCAGGTGGAAAGGCAGGTGTGTGTGGGGGGACAGGTGTGAAGGCGGGTGTGAAGACAGGTGTGGGGAAACGTGTGTGTGTGTGTGCCAATGTGGGAAGGCAGGTGTGTGTGGGGGGAACTGGTATGAAGGCAGGTATGTGTGTAGGGACAGGTGTGTGTGCAGATGTGGGGGGACAGGTGTGTGATGTGGGTAGGTGTGTGGGAGGGTGTGTGGTGTGTGCAGGTGTGAAGGCAGGTGTGGGGGGAAGGTGTGTGGTGTGTGCAGGCGTAGGGGCAGGGGTGGGCGGTGGGCGGAGCAGACAGCACGCTGTGTCCTGAGGCCCATTCCCCGCCCCCCCCACAGGTGGTCACCAACAGAGACACCCAGGAGACCCTGCTGTGCGTGGCGTACGTCTTCGAGGTGTCGGCCAGCGAGCACGGGGCTCAGCACCACATCTACCGGCTGGTGAAGGAGTAGAGACCAGGGACTGGGAGGGGGTGACATCACGTGTGCAGGGACGAGGGGAGGGGCCCCACGGGGCAGCCCCCCGCAGCACTGAGAGTTGAGGTGGTGACTCTTCTGCCCAGGAGCAAACTCTGCCTGAACCCGCAATTGCCTAAGCCCAATAAACCCCAGCTCTTGCGTCTTCAGAGGCCCCGTCTGGCTGCGCGAGCCCCGGGAGGGCCGAGGGAGAAGGGGCCGGACGCCGCCGCGTGTGCGGCTGTGAAGCCAGGGCTCCGTGGACTCAGCGAGGACGGTCACCAGCTGCCAACGCTCAAGATGGCATGTCCCCGAGCTGCCCTGGAGCCCTGCCTCCGGCTCCGGCCACACTGGGAGGCCTGGGGACAGGCGCAGGTCCCAGCCTGTGGGTCCTGTGCGGGCACCTCGGCCACGGGGAACGACGCATCTACCCCCTTCGCCCACCGCCTCTGCGGCCGCTCCCCGTGAACAGCCGACGGGGAGGCCGGCCCAGCTCGGGGGAGGGTTTCAGGTGTAGAGGTTAGACAGGGGCAAGCAGAGCTCTTTAGCTCCAGTGGACGTGAAGTCTCTGGCGACGCCAGCTGCCCGGGGGGTGAGTTCCAAGGGGACTCAGGTCAGGAGAGCCCAAGACAGCGAGGGTGGGAGTGAGACAGCGAGGGTGGGAGTGCTGGGGCCCCAGGGGCCCCCTGGTGAGACAGCGAGGGTGGGAGTGCTGGGGCCCCAGGGGCCCCCTGGGGGCCCTCGGCGTCCTCTTTGGTGGTGAAGGCCAAGAACGTTGGTCCGAGGCCCGCGCTGCGCTGGTCTCTGAGACCATGCCGTCGGCATGCCTTGCCATCTCACAGCAAGAGCTTCCCAGCCAGGAAGGCTGCTGGGTGGTGACCACCTTGGAGCAGCTGGGCCGACCACCCCCTCCCAGGGCGGAAGGTTCTGTGCCCCCTGGGGATGGAGGTGGGGTGGGAGTGGAGCCCACCCTGGGCCAGGGAATTTCCCTGGTCTTTTCCTCCTGGCAACTGGCCTTAGTCCTAGGGCTCCCCGCTGCCCGCCCTGTCTCAGCGTGTGTGTCCTTTCCTGCTTGTAAAGGGGGGCAGCCTTAGTGAGGAGGACGTGTCTGTATAGTGCCTGATGCAAGGTGCACTAAATAGATAAAAAGTTGTTACCATCCTCTTACCCCTTGGGATGCCGGGAACTGGCTCTTTGCTGCCATCTAGTGGCTATTTGCTATCATCTTCCCTAATAGAGAACCACACTTCCAGGAGCCTGGAGCCCAAGGGAAACAAGAGTTAATCTGCAGTTTTGTGTGCTGATCTCTCAGGGACATGTGTGGGGATATGAAGTGAATAAGATGGTGTTGAGGAGGTGTTGTGTGGTTAGTATCCAGGGCTCTGGAGTCAGCGGCTAGGATTGGAATCCTGGTGCTCAGCTTCGGACTAGTGTGGCCTTGGGGAGGTTACCTAATTTCACTGTGCCTCAGTTTCCCCATCTGTACAATGGGTATAACAATAGTACCTACCTCGTATATGTAGAGTGCCTAGCGTGGTGCCAAGCACACAAGTGTGTGCCGTGAGTATGCATTATTATTAATAGCACTGACTCCTTGCAGTCTGAGGAGTCAGCTTGGGATCTTAAGTGGGGGTGGGCTGGTCCTCAGAGCAACTGGAATTCAGAGGTGGGAAGGGGTGGGGCGTGGAAGGTTCAGGGAAGAGGCGGAAATTGAGAGGGGCTGCTTCCTGAAAGAGAGGCATTGCCTAGATAAACAGCTTGAAGAGGCAGTCTGCTGGCAGCTCTGGACAGGGCAGGCGGACCAGCCCTCCAGCTTCCTTCTGGACAGCTGCTAGACCCCGGGCCAAGTTGTGTCTCCCTCCTGTGTGTCGGGGCCCGGCTCTCATCTATAGACGATGTGATGTGGAGGGAGGCGAGGGTCCCTGAGTCCCTGAGAATCGTCTACTGTCCTTGTGTGGTTTGGGTCTGGGGAGGCTCTCCTGCCCACCCCTGGTCACTGTCATGGCCTCTGCCCTCCCACCACCCCATCCTTGTTCCCGGAGCTGTCAGAATAAAGGGAGCCCATGACCTCTGCACCCCCAGCAGGACTGAACGTTCGGACTAATGCTTGTGTGTGAGCAGCCTTGGGCCCTGGGTCGGACGCACAAACTAGGTCCGTCGTTTTGTGTCCTGGGTCCAGGGAGTCCATGTATATGTTGGGGCCAGGGGCTGGCTGCGAGTGTTCCCTTCTCTTTAGGACCTGGTCTCAGCAGCCTAATGGACAGTCACCTACTTAGAGCTGGAAAGTCCAGACCGTTCCGCCACCGAGAACATAGATCGAGGCGCCACTCCCGGAGGTGCAGCGCAGACCACGACCCGCGGGGCCAACAATCGGGAGATCCCACCCAGCCCGCTTCTCCTGCGCCGTCATCTCACACACATCCCCTCCTAGCTTCTCTCTGCCTTTAGCTTTGGCACCTCATGTCCCCTGGCCAGCAGGCCCCTGGAGAACTGTCACTCATCTTGCAGAGCCAGCATGGAGCCACTTCTCCTGCAGAAGGGCTGTTGGCTCGTGACTGGCAGGGCAGAGGCATTCCACTCACAACCCATCAGGGCACCTGTCTCCTGTCCCTGGGCATCGGGGCTGAGACATCTCTTCCATTCTCACCTGGGGCTGCTGTGCTCTCCCCATTTTAAAGATGACGGAGGGGCGTCCAGAGAGGCCGGCTAACTTGCTTGGAGTGTTCTGGAATCTGAATGCATGTATTCACCAGCTTGACACGTGTTTATTTAACTTCCGGTTCATGCCAGGCACAGGGATGCACAGATGGCTGAGACCGGTGGGGTGTCTGGGGAGCGTACGTCTTACTGAGGAGGGAAGACAAGCCGAGCGGGTAAAGGACGGGCAGACTGACGGGGGACCGCCAGGAGACGAGAGGGCGCCCGGGGCCTGGGGAGGGTGACGTGTGCGTGGGGACGGCGGGGAGGCCGTGTCAGGAACCCAGAGACGGAGCTGCAGGTCCAGATGTGGTCCAGGTCCCGGCCCCCGAGCTTGGTAAACGATTGGATTTTCCTCTATGTGATGGGAGGTCCTGGGAGGGTTTTAAGTGAGGGAGTAAGACTCGACTCTCGTTTCTGGGAGACAATACAAGGTGGCTGTGGCCCGCAGAACAGTGTCATCGTTTCCGAGTCTGTCTTACCCTTGGACTCAGCATCAGGGGGCAAGGGAGCCACCGCAGGACAGGTGTCCTGCTCTGTTACCTTCTACAATCCAAACCCCACCTCTGGGGCACGGCAGGTGCCTGGTGAACATGCGGAGGTGTGTGATCTGTGCCTTTGGGGCTGTGAGTGAGGGTCCTGGAGTCTGTGGGACACTTCGGGACAGGACCCTCCTGATGGCACTGGGAGTCAGGAGGTGGGGACATGGAAACCGGATGGTGCCTGACCCATGGGGCCTTGTGATTAGGCAGGGCCCCAAGGGTCATCAGGGACTTTCCATTGAGTGGGGTGCTCTTCCTAATGGGGGAGCCCCACGCAGCAGGAGTTGAGGGGCATGTGGACTGGAGTCGGTGGGTGAGGAGTGTAGGGCCAGGGCACCTGCTCCCCTCCCACCCATGGGACTCAAGAGCAGTGAACCCAGGGGCGGGGCGGCCCTTATTGGCAGGGATGGTGACCACAGGGAGCTCCTGACCCTGCAGGGACAGGGCCACCTGTGCACACCTGGGCCACACCTGCCCGGAGGAGGGGCAGAGCTGGAGCTGGGTGGGGCCCATTTTACCTGGTTATCCCAGGGGTCACCGCATTTGACCCCTTCTGACATTACTGTTGTGTCTGCCAAGAAAGGAAGCAAGAAGGTGAATCTGGAGCAGTTGTTCTGAGGATGGAAACCCCAGCCAGGTTGCTGGGGGCTGAGTCGGTTTCTCACCAGTTGTGTGGCCTGGGGCGACTGACTGAGCTCCGGGAACCTCTGTGACCTCGTCTGCGAAACTGGAATACTGTGGGCTGCTGTGGGGAGGAGGGTGAGCACACGTGTGAGAGGGCAGCCCCACACCCGGCTCACGGGGCACACGGCGGGCACGATGCATGAAGAGGTCGATCCTGACTCTGCCCCTGCCACTTCGGCCACAGACACTTACACGTTCACACTCACAGCACACATACAGGCACACACGTATACACACTCATGCACACAATGCAGCACATACAACTACACACAGTATATACACACTTACACAGACACACACACCTACACACTCGTTCATGTAGTTATCACATGCACACATGCATGTACCACACTCCTACACACACACTCACACTGTATACACACTCATACACACACACACAGAGCATACACCTACACACATTACGTGCACACACTTACACATAGACATACACACCATCACAAATATACTGCATGTACCACATACCTACAGACACACTCACACTGTGTACTTATACATACACACACAGTACATGCCTACACACACTGTATACACACTTACACATAGACACACACACCTACACACATTCATATACTCACCATACACACACACACATATGTACCTCATACCCACACACACACACAGTATACATATTCATAAACACACATACAGCACACGCTCACACATTATATGCACACTCACACAGACGTACACACATATACACTCACACATTCATACACTCATCACAAACATACCACATTCATAAACACACACACAGCACATGCTCACGCATTATATGCACACACTTACACAGACATACACACCTATACACTCACACATTCATACACTCATCACAAACATACCACATGTACCACACACCTACACACACACACACACTGTATATACATACATACACACACATAGCATACACTTACACACTGTATGCGCACTTACACAGACACACACCTACACACATTCATATACTCATCACACACACACACACGTATCATGTACCTACACACATACACTCAACATCCACCATAGAGACACACATACTTACACCACACACACACACACACACACACACATATGGACATGTAGGTGCCAGCATGCACACACACTCACACACACAGACATTTTTAGAGAAAAGCTCTGCTCTGATGTCCTTTAAAAGGCAGAGAGGAGGGACTTCCCTGGTGGTCCAGTGGTTAAGACCCTGGATTTCCAATTTAGGAGGCATGGATTCGAAT